CCACTCCCTTCTGATGATGTTACATCTGCAAACAAACAACCAAGTTCAGACAGCATGAAGGGCTCTGCCTCTTTTGCCCATCTAACATATCAACATGGGGGGAGGGGGCGTCAAAAGCTTTTTATCTGACCTCTTTGATGCAAACGGTTCAAATCTGGCCGTCGTATTTCATTTTAATGAGTGGTGAGTAATTCCACTGTTCTTCTTTTAAAGTAGTTAATGCTGTTTCAACAGCCTTGCTATTAGTGCCAGAACACATTCTGTGATGTTTTCACAGCCAAGTCAATTCCTTTCAGTTTGAGAGATGAGGAACAAATCAAACCACCAGGCTGCTCAAAATGTACTTGTTAACGAAAGACCCTGAATATTACTTCTTAGGCCTTCGAGTTAATTGTACAGTTTTCTTCTGTAATCATTGTGACGGCAGCTTCTCACAGCAGTTTAGTTGTAACTGGTAAATTCAGTGTAGGGTTATTATTGTGCCTGGCTCCTTGATATCCGAACCAAGACCTCTTTCAACTGTACTTTGGCAAAGGCTTATTTTTAAAACTTATTTTTAATGAGAAGTAAGTTTTCTGCAGATTTGTCCTAAATAGCAGCATTATACAAACCTAGCACAATATTTCAACCTTTCAGAATAAACAACATTATGCAAAGCATGCAAAAAGTAGTAAAGAAATTAAGGTAGAAGATAAGGAAAGAAAAACTAATTAACCACAGGGGCTGCACCAAAGAAGAGGTGGGATAAAATAGTTATATACAAATTCCTTATGCAGTAAAACTTCAAAGGTTATTGAAAAATAACGTAATGTAAGAAAGAAAGCAGAGAAGAGCAATGAAGATGATTAGGGGACTGGAGGCTAAACCATGTAAAGAACAGTTGCTGGAATTGGGTATGTCTAATCTGATGAAAAGAAGGACTAGGGGAGACATGATAGCAGTCTTCCAATATCTCAGGGGCTGCCCCAAAGAAGAGGCAGTCAAGCTATTCTCCAAAGCACCTGGGGGCAGGACAAGAAGCAATGGGTGGAAACTAATCAAGGAGAGAAGCAACTTAGAACTAAGGAGAAATTTCCTGACAGTGGGAACAATTAATCAGTGGAACCACTTGCCTCCAGAGGTTGTGAATGCTCCAACACTGGAAGTTTTAAAGAAGAGATTGGGCAGCCATTTGTCTGAAATGGTGTAGGGTTTCTTGGGATTCAAAATTTTTAACAACCGGTTCTGTGGGCGTGGCTTAGGTGGTGGGCATTGCTTGGTGGTCATGTTATTGTCTGGGCGTGGCCAACTCAATATCACTCACATCGAGGCACGCATCTCCTCGCCTGGCCTCTTATGACTGTGGGGATGCTGCAACAGTCGTAAGTGTGAAAAATGGTCATAAGTCACTTTTTTCAGTGCCACTGTAACTTTGAATGGTCACTCCACACAAGCAAAGTACCAGCAAAGGAGGAGAAAAAAACTCCAGAGAAGTTCCTGAGACAGGAAGTCTAGTCCTGCCAAGAATGTAATAAGGGTCAATGGAGAGGCAGTTTCTGTAAGCAACACCAGAATGTTTCCTTCTTGCCTTCCTTACGGGATTAGGACAGTAATTTCTTCTAACAATCGGTTCTCCGAACTGCTTAGAATGTTAACAACCGGTTCTAGCGAATAGGTGCAAACTGGTAGAATCCCACCCCTGGTTTCCTGCCTGAGCAGGGGGTTGGACTAGAAGGCCTCCAAGGTCCCTCACAAATCTGTTATTCTGTTCTGTTCTGTTCTGTTCTGTTCTGTTCTGTTCTGTTCTGTTCTATTCCATATTCCATATGTTCTGCTCTGCTCTATTCCATTCCATTCCATTCGATTACATATTTTCTTTTCTATCCTATCCTATCCCATCCCATTCCATATTTTCTATTCTATTCTATTCTATTCTATTCTATTCTATTCTATTCTATTCTATTCTATTCTATTCTATTCTATTCTATTCTATTCTATTCTATTCTATTCTAAATAACTGTGTACCATTGTGCAGGAAAAGGGTTGGCAGAACAAAGGGGTGGAGTTAAAAGAGGAATTAGCTGAGTGCCAAAATGTGTGCATGTGCGTGCATGTCAGAAAGAGCAGCTCCCGGCCACCTGTTGGGTCATCCTTTTAGAGATCGTTCCTGACCAGATTCCTTAGTCTTCAACAGTGACAGAGCTTCCAATGTCCTACCTTCACTTTTCCTACCTGGAAAAGTTGGGAAATATTCAGAGATGCCATGAAAATCGCTGACGTAGAACTGTGTAGTGCAGTCAAATGTCAGCAGACAATGCCATAAACTGTTTTATGATAGCAACAGTAATAGCGCTTAGACTTATGTACCGCTTCAAGGTGCTTTACAGCCCTCTCTAAGTGGTTTACGGAGTCGGCCTATTGCCCCCAATATTCTGGATCCTCATTTTATTGACCTCGGATGGATGGAAGGCTGAGTCAACCTTGAGCCAGTCAGGATCAAACTGTTGGTAATGGGCAGAGTCAGCCTGCAATGCTGCATTCTAATCTCTGTGCCACCAAGAAGGAGAATGAGAAAGGGAAGGAGAATGAGAAAGGAAATAAGAAAGGAAGGAAGGAAGGAAGGAGGGAGGGAGGGAGGGAGGGAGGGAAGGATAGCATTTAGATTTATATACCATTTCATAGTGCTTTACAGCCCTCTCTAAGTGGTTTACATTCTTCTTCTCCTTCTCCTTCTCCTTCTCCTTCTCCTTCTCCTTCTCCTTCTTCTTCTTCTTCTTCTTCTTCCATATCCATCATCGGACATTAGCGATCATGTTGGTGATCCTATCAGCAGTTTACAGAGCCAGCATATTGCCCCCCAACAATATTGAACTTGGTATTCCAAGGAGAAACTGTTTTATAACTGAACTTAGCTCGCAACCAACTGAACCGAACTTAAGCATTTTCAAAGCCATTAATTCCAACAAAAGAAACTAAATAAGAATTTCAGGATCATATTCACGCCAGAATTTACAGAATTGCTTATGTCTGTGTGAATTGCTTAGGTCCTGCTCAACCGAGCAGATAACAAAAACAGAGAATTGTTCATTAATCATGTTTTAAAACATGTCATGTTGAAACCCATCAGTCTGATTTAATTTGCATGAATCAATTATCTGAAGAAAACCAACACAGTTAATTATTCTTTCATTTAAATCTGTGATCGGTTCAGGAGAAACTTCCAAAATGTTACAAGCAGAGAAACTATGTGAACGCACACCCAAGATAAATTACACTCACAATTCACATTGCATCACCGTGTTAAATTTACCCCTTATTACATACAGGTCACCGAAGACAATTGTCGTTCATGTTTGAACCCTGGGGAAAATTCTAATGAACAACTAGGAAGAGAATCATCTGCAGAAATCAATTAGCCCACTGCGCCACACATTACTTACTCATGCCTTCATGATCCTCACTTAAAAAAAGATTTGCAGCCTTTCCCTCGAAAGACAGTACAGGTAGCCTTCGACGTACAAACACAATTGAGCCCCAAAATTTCCATTGCCAAGTGAGAAGGTTGTTAAGTGAATTTTGCTTCATTTTGCGACCTTTCTTTGTCCCAATTGCTAAGTCAAAGATTGCAGTCGTTAAGTTAGTAACCTGGCTATTGAGTGAATCTGGCTTCCCCCATTGCTTGTCAGAAGGTCACAAAAGGGGACCAGGTGACCCCCGGAACCGTCGTAAATGTGAGTCAGTTGCCAAGATTCTGAATTCTGTTCACATGAACATGGGAATGCTGCAATGGTCATAAATATGAAAAAACGGTCCTAATCCAGTTTTTTTTTCAGTGCTGTTCTAAGTTTGAACACTCATTAAATGAATTGTTATAAGTCAAGGGAAAACCTTATTGCTTGGTTGTCCAACTTTTAGGCACATCAGGAGGCAGGGGTGAGATTCTGCCGGTTCAAACCGGTTCGAGCGAACAGGTTGTTCCAGCGATTAATTGGCCCCGCCCACCTGCTCCTGCGGTAGACCATCCTATATTTCCGTGTTTTGCAGCCCAGCTGATTCGCACGGCACAGTGAATTGCTGCGCCTCAGCTGTTTTACTCCCCAGGGCTGCAGCAGAAGGTAAGTTTTAGAGCTGAAAATGGACGGGTTTTGGTGGTGGGATTCAAAAACTTTTACCACTGGTTCGGTGGGCGTGGCTTGGTGGGCGCGCTTTGCACGCATGCACACATTTTGCATGCATGCACGCGCCAAACATGCACTTTGCGCAGGCACAGAGGCGTTTTGACTCACCTCCTTCAAGCCTGCACTGTCCAAGTCGCTTCAGCAGCTGCCGCACGGCACTCTTCTATGCCGCGCAAAGCAGCTGTGCTTCAAAAGCAGAAGATAAAGGTGAGTATGGGAGCCAGGCGGGCAGGTGGGTGGGCCCAACAGCAGAGCGGTGGAGAGAACTGGTTCGGTCTCCACTGCTCATCGCCACTACCGGCTTGGCAGAACTGGGCCGAACTGGTAGCATACCATCACTGGTGGGTTTCAAATGCTGCGCACGCTCACCAAAATGGTTGTCACACCCAGTGGTGGGATTCAAATTTTTTTACTACCGGTTCTGTGGGCGTAGCTTGATGGGCTTGGTGGCTTGGTGGGCATGGCAGGGGAAGGATACTGCAAAATCCCCATTCTTTCCCCAACCCCACTAACCTGCTTTCCAGCTCCGTTCTCCTGTGCAGGGCAACAAAAGAAGACCCACCCGATCAGCTGGGACTCAGGAGGCAAAGAATAGATGGGGGCAGGGCCAGTCAGAGATGGGATTTGCCGGTTCTCCGAACTACTCAAAATTTCTGCTACCGGTTCTCCAGAACTGGTCAGAACCTGCTGAATCCCATATCTGGTTACACCGGTTGAATCCCGCCACTGGTCATGAACTACACAACATATTACCCAAGGAAATATTTAATGAATTGTAATCTGAAAACAAAAAGTTTACCCAGAGCAAAAGATTAAAAAAAAAAAGGGGGGGGACTCACTCACCAGAGTGTCCAGTCATGGGCACAGTATGGTTGAACATTCCCCAAGTAGAATCCAAGGGACTGAGTAACTTCCAACAAGTTGGTGAAGTCCAGGCTAATGCTATTGAAAAGCACGGAGGTCATAATGATTTCATCAATGGCCCAAACATCTTCGCCTTGAGAAGAATGGTATGGTTGCCACCACCGGAACTGAATGCCAAACTGTCTTGCATCTTCTGGCAATTCCACGGAAATTATTCTTTTTTTAAAAAAAGAAAGAAATTGGATTAATGAAAAATCCATCTAGAAATCACGAAGCTGATTCTCACTCTTCATACTATAGGTAGTCCTTGACTTACGACCACAATTGTGCCCCATATTTCTGTTGCTAAGTGAGACATTTGTTAAGTGAGTTTCGCCTCGTTTTCCAAAAAATGGGCCCGTTTAGTCACTTACAGTATTTCCGGGAATACAGGAAGTGATGAAACGAACCTGTTTTTGGGCCTCCAAAGGCTGCAGAGGCTTCCCTGGAGCCTCTGGGAGGCCAAAAAAGGCCTCAAACGGGCCGAAAATCAGCTGGGAGGCACATGCATGCGCAGTGAGGTAAGTTTGCCTGGGGCTCGCGTGCCCACACAAATGGCTCCGTGTGCCACCTGTGGCATACGTGCCATAGGTTCACCATCACAGCTTTAAGAGATTAAGGACTGAATTTTCCAGGATCAAGAGAAGGGGAAGTGAGGATAAAGATGGAATTCTTAAATGTCTCAGGCTGTATTTCTAACCAGGTTAATCATCCTATATAAAGAGCATTAAAGAAAAGATAAAAAATGGTGGCTGGAATTGAGTATGCCTAGTTTAATGAAAAGAAGGATTAGGAGTGATATGACAGCACTGTTCCAATTTCTGAGGGGCTGCTACGAAGAAGAGGGGGTCAACCTATTTTCCAAAGCACCAGAAGGCAAGATGAGAAGCAATGAATGGAAACTAATCAAGAAGACGTAAGGAGGCATTTTCTGACAGTGAGAACAATCAACCAATGGCTTGCCTCCAGAAGTTGTGAATGCTCCAACACTGGTAGTTTTCAAGAAGAGCCTGAACAAACCTTTATCTGAAACGGTAGAGTGTTTCCTCCCTTAGCAGGGGGTTGGACTAGAAGACCTTTAAGGTCCTTCCTAACTCTGTTATTCTGCTATCTTCACTATTCAACATTGCACTACATTTTAACTCATTTATTCTTGTCCTGCTTGTATGTTTGGAGAGATTTATTTTGCAATAAAAACCTCAGTTTGTTATCAGGGCTAAAGACAATATTTGTTAAGATTTTCAGCAGCTTTTTAGCAGTGCCCAGGATGAATAATACATTGTCTGTACATAGTCTTGAATTTCTGTCCTGGAACTATTTCTTTCTTCCCTCATTTGAATTGTTCCTGGAAGAACAGGGATGGATATCTTGACAAACAGATGCTCTTACATCTTCGTCATTATCTGCTAGGGATTTCTGACGATGTCAAGTCATGACCCCCCCCTGAAGACAGACTCAACTGTCAATCAAGTTGGATTTCATAAATGGAACTAAAGCAAGCTCCATCTTGTTCTTATTTGGGACGGGGAAAAAATGTCTTGGCAGGAGAGTCTGCTTTGCCTTTTTCTCTGTGTGGGTCAGCTTTGTGCCAAAGAATGCTGGCAGAGAGAACAAAGCACATATTTTATTTCTTGATTAAGCAATTTTCTTTTATATGTACTTCACTGTAGCAAGGAAATTGAATGAAGTTCCATTCTCAGTCTGGTGGGGAGCGGAATGGTACCAAACCAGAATATCCACACATAAACATTAATTGTAGCGAGGAAATCAACAGTCTTCTGCTGCGTGGTTGGTGAGCCAGGCCCACAAGGAACCTTCAAGAACCTTCCTGGCAGCTGTGACAAAAAAAACACCTAGATTTGACGAACTGTGAAGAAAATTAAGAATAATATTGAATTTCCAGGCACAATTACGGAACACAGCCATGGGGAACATACATTAATTGCCATGGCAATGACATCTTTGAGGATGTTCCATAAATCAATAACAGCAGATGCCCACATGAAACACGCAAAGGCAAAGGCTGAGGCATAACAACATGAGGGATGTTTATTCCCATCAACGTATAATAAAATATTGGCAAAGGAACTCTCAGTATCCTACCAACCTTGTCTTTTTTCCCTCAAAAGAATAAATTCATACATTAACTTCGACATCTTCCCCTTGCTGGGTCTAACAATAACCCCACTTATGCCACAACTTTGCATCTTCGCTTGTGACAAAGAACACACAAACACACATGGAAAAGCACTTTTTATGCCATCTTTGTGAACTTTGATGGGTGTGCCTTTTGAGCATCTTGTGATAGCATGTTTATTACCGAGGAAGGATGTGTTAATTGATTAGCAAGAAGATCAAATGATGAAGCTAAACAAGTAATTTTGAGAGAAGCGGGGGGCGGGGATCAGGAAATTAAAAGAATCTGGAGAATAATATGTGGTTTGGTTTTCTGACATGTTGTGAATCAAGTTCAGCCATGAAAAACAAAGACCATTTCAAAGATCCCACACTCCATTCATCCCTCCAACACAAGGAATGAAGAGGAAAAAAATAGGTTCTTTTTTCCCTTGAAGAATGAAAAATGCAAGACAGGAGTTTCACAAGACTTTGGATTAATTGTTAAATATACATTCCCTTTCGCAATGCACCTATCCAGGAAAATATTATATTTAGGTGGGGAAAAACCTGCGAGAGCTTTACATTTGAAACGCACATAACAAAATAACCAAATAACAGAATAATAGGATGGAAAGGGACCTTGGAGGTCTTCTAGTCTAACCCCCTGCTCAAGCAGGAGACCCTAGACCATTCTGGACAAATGGCTGTCCAGTCTTTTCTTGAAAATCTCCATGGTAGAGCATCCACAACTTCTGGAGGCAAACAATTCCACTGATTTAATTGTTCTCATTGTCGGGAAATTTCTTCTTAGTTCTAAGTTGGATCTTTCTTTAATGATCTTCCACCCATTACTTCTTGTTCTGCCCTCAGGTGCTTTTGAGAATAAGTTGACCTCCTCTTCTTTGTGACACCCTCTTTAATATTGAAATATGGTTATTGTATCACCTCTAATCCTTCTCTTTGTTGGATTGGACATGTCTAGTTACATGAATCGTTCATCAGTAGGATTACTCTATCACTTTCTTCTTTTTCTATCTTCAAAACTGGCAGAAAAGGTTGATGTGAGTTCTAGCAACCACAGTGAAGCAGGAGTCTAATGGTCTTGAGAAGGCACGTAGAGAGACATGTAGGTTCTCTAAGAATGGATGTTCTCTATCCTCGCTGGACAGAATGTTGGAACTGAGAAGATCCACAATAGCCTCCAGCTCAGAATAGCCTCCAGCTCAGTGGTCTCCAAACTTGGCAACTTTAAGACTTGTGGATTCCAACTCCCAGAACTCCTCAGCCAGCTATGAAGACTTGAAGTCCACAAGTCTTAAAGTTGCCAAGTTTGGAGACCTCTGCTCTAGCTATTCTAGTAAACTAAACCTAGATCTTCTCAATTCTTCACAAGATCACCCCATAACATTCCTCACCACCTCACCTCTTCAAAGGATTGTTGTTGGGATTAAAAACAGGAAGAACGTCTTCAGAGCCTCAAATTTCTTCATAGAAAGGCAGGATAGAAAGCAGGTAAATACAGGCTATGGTATGTTGTATAACATACTTTGTATAACACCAACGCAATTATTAAATTTGCAGATGACACGACAGTGGTGGGGCTCATTAATAAGAACAATGAGTCTGTTTATAGAAAGGAAATACAAGGTCTGACAATGTGGTGTAAAAAGAAAATAATCTTACACTTAACACCAAAAAAACTAAAGAACTTATAATTGACTTCAGGAGGAAGAGAGATGTACATTTACCATTGTACATAAATGGTGAGGAGGTGGAGAGGGTTGGTAGTTTTAAATTTCTGGGCATTTCTATCTCAGAGGGCCTCTCATGGACTATGAATGCTAACATGCTTGTAAAGAAGGCACAGAAGAGGCTGTACTTCCTGAGAATGATCAGGAAGATAAATCTATCTCAGCATCTACTTCTGTCCAATGAGAGTGTCCTGACATATGGCATTCTTGCATGGTACGGGAGCAGCTCTGTAGCGGACAAAAAAGCTCTATAGAGATTCATTAAAACTGCCCAGAATATCATCGGGCTCCAGCTACCAGCCCTGGATGACATCTTTGCACCTTGTTGTTTGAGGAAGTTGCACAACATTCTCAGAGACTCTTCCCATCCTGCTTACAATCTTTGTGAAGCTGTTGCCTTCTGGCAGAAGATACAGAACCATTAAAACTTGGACCACACATTTTCTGAACAGTTTTTATCCCAGTGTTATAATTGCACTTAATAATGAACTTAAGGACCAGCATCAGTGAGCGGTTGGACAGTATTACTTGGTCTGTTGTGTGGATGCTTGTGTGTTTTTAGGGGTTGGGGAATTTTGGTGGGTGGAGAGGTGTTTGGGGATTGTCATGTGTGTGTGCATGTTGAGTCTGGTCTCTGGGTGTTATGTGAATTTTGTTGTATGTATACTGTGTACATACAACAAATGTATGTACGTACCATGACTGTATACATACAACGACAATAAAGAATTCAATCTTCAATGTTGTATAAAAAGAATTATAGGAATTTGACACTGGGCACAGAGGTTGTAGAACTGATTCCTAATAGGATGCTTTCGCATTGTACCACAATTAAAGCAATGCATTTACCTTGGCTCGTGATAGTTGAGATAGGGGTAATGTTCCAGAAGTTTCCACGTAATCCCATTGTCGTACGAATAGTGCAACAGAACACCTTCTCCAGGCTGGTCAGGTGCTTTGCAAGTACTCAGAACAGATCTGCTGCCGAGTCGCAGAGTAAACTGGAGGAATCTGGTTTGACAAGGGTTTGAATCATTATAAATTACCATTTCCACAGCATTCTCTTCCCAAACCTGCCTTATTTTTTTTTAAATCCTGTATATTAAAGCACACCTAAAGTAAACAATACCGATGCCTCCTTCCTGGAGTTGAAATTGTTTATTCAATCCAGCCAGGTAGCACGGCACGGATTGTTTTAAAATGCCAATCACTATTGCATTTCATTATTTATTAGGAACCGGAGGGGTGGAGGAGCCATTGAATGGATCTAATCAGCTGCCACAAGCTGTCAAAATAAATACAAGCCCGTAAATAATTAAGCAGCACTTGGCTCCCACACTCACTTTTGATATTAATGTTGCATGCTTGCAAACTCAGGCACCATATAATTACCCCCCAATGTATTAAACACTTAGCCTTGCAAATAAAGTGTGGTTTTTCAAAAAAAAAAAAAAGAATGAAAATGCATTCTCGTATCCAGAATTAAATGTAAAAATACAAAGCCATCAAAAATTTAAGCGCTGATTTTTTTTCTCTCTCTCTCAATCAAACACAAGCTCCCCTTTTAATTGAAGATGGTAAAGGATTAATTCCAAGCAACAGATATCCAGAACCGGATTCAAAGGAGGCTGCCTTGTTTTCATTTATTCCCACTTTACCTTGATTGGGAGCTGTCGAAGAATGACGTGATGAGTTGACGTCTTCCATCCTTGTTAAAAACCAGGGCTTTGCCACTTGCTAGCACTCCACAGCCGAAACTGACTTCAGCACCACGGATAGAGTAAAAGTTGTGATAGGAGGAGAGCCTGGCATTGCTGAAACTTTCCGAGATAAACATTGGAAAAGTTTGAGAGGCCATTTCGCAGGCAGGGCCTGAAAAGCCAGGGTCACACCTGTTTAGGGAAAGAAGCGAAAGCCAGCTAAATATGACCAACCTTGGAGAGAAATAAGTCGCAAATGTTGTACGAGATCCTTAAGAAATACAAAGCTATAAGGCCACAAAATGTTAATACCCTCTCTTCATTTGTTTTAATTTTACTTTTAATTAATTTATTTATTTGTATTCCACCTTCATTGTTTTTACAAACAACTCAAGGTGGCAAATGTGTCCAGCACACCTTCTTCTCCCTGTTTTTCCCCCAACAAAAATTATCCTATGTGATGGATTGGGCTGAGAGATAAGGATTGGCCAGGCTCCCAGCTGGCTAACATGGCTAAAGCAGGTCTAGAACTCACAATCTCCTGGTGATTGGCCCAAAGTCACCCAGCTGGCTTTCATGCCTAAGGCAGGACTTGAACTCACGGCCTCTTGGTGTTGGCCTAAAGGCCACCCAGCTGGTTTTCATGGCTAAAGGAGGACTAGAACTCACAATCTACTGGTGATTAGTCCAAAGTCATCCAATTGGCTTTCATGGCTAAGGTGGAACTTGAACTCACAGCCTCCTGCTTTCTAGCCAAGTGTCTTAACCACCAGACCAAACTGGCTTTTTTCTTTCAAAAAATGAAATTAAATAGTCTATGACTAACTACAAGTATAGAATTTTGATATTATTATTATTATTATTATTATTATTATTATTATTATTATTATTATTATTATTATTATTATTATTATTATCGTTGTTGTTGTTGTTGTTGTTTTATTGTTATTGTTATTCATCACATAGTCAGCCAGATGTCCAGACTGGGTTTGGCATTTTTGTCTACCTATCGAGTTCTTACCAAGGACCTGGGGTAGGCAAATCTGGATGTTTGATGGTGCTACGGATATCGCTGCAGGATGGAAACTGTTCCAAGTCAAACATCCTTCTGCAATTGACTGATGGTGAATGTGTCAATGCCACCAATGTGTTGAAATGGTGCTCCACTTTTTTTGGGATTGCACCCAAGACGCCTATTACTATTGGTACTACCCTTGCTTGCCTTTGCCATAGTCATTCTATTTGTAGGTCTTTATAATTTGTTATCTTCTCCAGTTCTTTCTCTTCTATTCTGCTGTTATTATTGTTGTTGTTATTATGATTGTTGTTGTTGTTGTAGCTAGTCACACAGTCAGCCAGATGTCTAGACTGGATTTAGCATTTTTATCCAGCTATCAAATCCTTCTCAAGGAACTGGGATAGATATGGTTGTTTAGTGTTATTAAAGGTATTGTTGCAGCATGTACGATGTTTCAGATAAAGCTGCCTTTTGCAATTGACCGATGGGGATTTTGTCAATGACAATGATATTAAAGTGGTGTTCCAGATGTTTTGCAATTAAACCCAAGGCACTTATTACAATTAATGCCAATTTTGCTTTCTTTTGCCACAGTGGTCCCACTTCTATTTGCAAGGGCACAACATCCCCTCTTCTTCTTTAGCGGCCAGAGACAATCTTACCTCTGAGAGGTTTTCTTATAATTTCATGGAAAAGGATTTCCACAGTGCGACTGAACAATAAAGACATACAAAATAAGTTTCAAATCAGACTGGATAAAACCTAAAAGGGCTACCACCTTCATGACTTGGAAAAAAGTAGGAAAATAATCATTCCAATGAGGGACAATTAATTAGAATCTAAAATAAACATTTTCCCTCTCTTTCTCTCTAATTCCAATTAAGGCTGTTGTGTTAACTTCGTGACAGTCCAAGCATTCAATCTCCTGTAGAGATACAGTATGTCTGACCTAAGCAAATCAGGAATCTGTCTTTTTTTTGGCAGGGGGAGATTCTGATTGTGCTATCAGGAGTAATCTCACAAGACAGGCTGTCCTACAACCTAGAAAGCAGCTTTACAGAATACAGAGATGCTGACCGATGCATTAGGATCACACTTACTTGCAACCGTTTCTTGTGCATTGACCTCGCCCTGAGCAGAATTTGAGACAAGATGGACCAATGTAAACTGCAGGAAGGGGAAAAATAAATAAATAAATGTGCTGAAGTTAAATTCCAGAACTTTGGGCATATTTAAGTGAAGCGCATACAAAGTTCATTACACTGTATCTAGCAAGACTAAGTACATACAGGTTGCCCTGGACTTACGACTGTAATTGAGCCTGAAATTATGGGTTGTAATTCCAGGCTGAATTGTGTGCTGATCATTACCATGTGATCGCACTTGATTGAATAGAAATAGAACAGAACAGAGAAAGCAGAACAACAGAGTTGGAAGGAACCTTGCAGGTCATCTAGTCCAACCCCCTACCCAAGCAGGAGACCCTACACCAGTGGTGGCTAACCCTTTTGGGCTCTTGTGCCAAAAATTGTGCGCGTGTGCTCATGTACCAGCACCCAGAAGGCAATGCGTATGGGGCCCCCCACGCCCCCTGCACATGTGCACATGATTCCCCCCTTCCCCCCGCCACGCCCTTACCTGCACTGTGCCTCCCAGTTGATTTTTGGCCTGTTTGAGGCCTTTTTCAGCCTGCCAGAGGCTTGAGGCAAGCCTCTGCAGGCTTCGCAGGCCGAAAAATGGACCCGTTTCATCAGTTCTAGTATTTCCGGAAATTCAGGAAGTGATGAAATGGGCCTATTTTTTAGCCTGCAAAGCCTGCAGAGGCTTCCCTCAAGCCTCTGGCAGGCCAAAAAAGGCCCACAAGTCAGCTGGGAGGCATGCACATGTACAGTGAGGTAAGTTTGCCTGGGGCTCGCGTGCCCACACGAATGGCTCTGCGTGCCACCTGTGGCACATGTGCCATAGGCTCACCATCATGGCCCTACACCATTTCTGACAGATGGCAGTCCAGTTTCCTCTTGAAAGCTTCTAGTGATGAAGCTCCCATATCCTTTATGACTTTTTTTCATCCTTCTGCTGCAGCTCTCTATTGCTCAAAATATGTGTCACAACCACCAATGTGCGACACCTGCCAGCACGCGATTTAATGAGCTTTTTGGGGCCCCGGTAGCCTAACCATGGATAAATCCAAGGAAAGAAAAGTTTCAGAAGAAAACAGAATGTGTAATGGTACATGGGCAGATTCGTTTGCTTTCACTGCTGACGAGACTGGTTTACCGGTATGCTTAATATGTGGTGAGACTTTGGCAAACAGTGCAGTTTTATCTTCATTTTAGATGTTTTGTGACTCCCGGTGTTTTCTTTTCTGTGGGAAATGGGTCCAAATAGCTCTTGTTTAGTGTTTAAGGTTGCCGACCCCTGGCCTACTTAAAGGTTACACACAGATGAACAGGTAATATGTAGATAACACCGGTGGTAATAAATACTACTAACTGCTGTCAATTGCCCACATGTTTCCAAGAACCGATCCGGTTTGTCGCCATCGGATTCTGGTATCTCTGGTTAAGGCTGCATTTGGAAGGGGAATAGTTATACGGTTCCACCTGAAACAAAAGAGACGAGATTTCATGCTTTTAGAGTGACAAGTTGGTTTTAAAATGTAAAGTCGTTTGGCTTAAATGAAACACAGAAATTCCAGTTCCGTCTACAAGCAACACAAGGTTGTTTTTCATTACAGATAGTCCTAGACTTACGATCCCAATTGTGCCCTTCATTTTACACGGCGAAGTGAGTTTTGCCCTGGGTTACACACTTCCTTGACACAGTTGTTCAGTGAATTGTTGCGGTTAAGTTAGTAACATGGTTGTTGAGTGAATCTGGCTTCCCCCATTGACTTTGCTTGTCAGAAGGTCACAAAAGGGGATCGCGTGAACACTGCAACCGTCGTAAATATGAGTCAGTTGCCAAGCATCCGAATTTGGATCACACGATCAGGGGGAATGCTACAACAGTTGTATGAAGAATGGTCACTAGCCATTGTAATTTCAAACAGTCACTAAATGAACTGTTGTAAGTGGAGAACTACCTGTAGTAACTTAAATTTGATGAGAATGCAGAATAGACGTAATGGTATAAATCCTACCTAGGTTATTTCTCAACACACAAAATTTATCACTATTGAACAATCTTATACTGCACGAGTCAAAAAGAGGGCTGTGAAAATATCTACAGACCCCTCACATCCTGGACATAAGCTGTTTCAACTCCTACCCTCAAAACGACGCTATAGAGCACTGCACACCAGAACAACTAGACACAAGGACAGTTTTTTCCCAAAGGCCATCACTCTGCTAAACAAATAATTCCCTCAACACTCTCCAAATATTTACAAAGTCTGCACTACTATTACTGTTAATCTTCTCATCACTCCTTATCGCCCATCCCCTCCCACTTGTGACCATATGACTGTAACTTTGTTGCTTGTATCCTTATGAATTGTATTGACTATTTCCTAGTATGATTTAATTGCTTATTGCACCCTATAACTATTATTAAGTGTTGTATGTTATGATTCTTGACTCTTGACGAATGTCTCTTTTCTTTTATGTACACTGAGAGCATTTGCACCAAGAGAAATTCCTTGTGTGCCCAATCACACTTGGCCAATAAAGAACTATATTATCTATTATCTATTTTTCCACCAAGTGTTTTAGACCTACCATATTGTTCCTTTCAGTTCAGAAAGAATTTCTAGAAATACCATATTTGGTTATAACTAGTTTTTTTTTCTTAAAATATAAACCTAGTTTGACAGATGCTTCCAAAACTAAGCATTGTTCTGTCAAGTCCATTTTCATAGCTAAAATCCTTGAAGATGGAATCACCTTTTATTCATTTTGGGAGAAGAACATTTTTTAATATCACACCCTTATTTAACTGCCTTGGTTTGCCAGAGAGAAGAAATTACAAGAGGTTGTTATCTTCACAGAATTATGAACAATTTAATTTTTTCATTATTTTTCAGCAGAGATATTTGCATTAAAACATTCCCTTACCCACTGTAGTTTTCGGATGCATAGACCGTGCTATGGGGAAGATGGGATCCAGAACACGTCTCTGGCAAACATTCAGAGTGAAGTAATGACCAAGAACGTCCGTGGTTGGTGGAGAATTCCAAACTAACACTGCCAACAAAAAAGAAAGACACAAAAGAGAACAATCTGATTTCTTATCTGGACTAAAATTGCAATAAATTGGTATTTGCACCAAGAATGCATGAAAGCTTTATAATCATGGCTTATTAAATAATAGATCTTGTCTGAGTATATTCATGAACTGGAATAGATCATGGTAACAAGGTCAGCCAATGAATAGGCATAGCAACTAAGTAAGCCAATGAGGACTGATTGGAAACTGAAACTAGAAGTAGCCTAGGCTTGGCTCTACATTAAGCTCTGCAGCTCTGAAGCTATGTTAAGCTCTGAGTCTGTCTATTGAAAATGAAACTGCTTCTCTCCTCTGCTTGCCTGCTGAACTAAAGTGAAACTGATGTCTGTTTCTGAACTCCTGAGTTGCTGTTCTCATGTAACATGTCTGCTTCTGTTTGAGTTTGCTCCATGTTGGAGAAATCTACAACTGGTATTGTAAAATTTACTTTATATGTTTATAAAGAAGTTAAATGAAACCTCAGTCATCTGTGTTTGCTTTGCTGGCGCTGAATTTACTCTGCAATACTCTGAACAGATCTTCCAGATGCTGAAATATGAAGTGCCTGGGAGCACTGAAAAGCTGAACATTTAAGATGAACTATGAGGCACCAAAACACGAGTTGGCTACCCACGCCAGAAAGTGTTTGGCTGATGGGTATGTTCAGCAATGCGTCTAAGCCTTACTTATGCTGCCGGCACATTTGATTAAATTCTACTCAACACTGAAAATCTTTAAGTACTGATGAGAAGCCAGGACAAGAGAAATTGAGAGGAAAGGTTGGTGTCGTTCTGCCAACAATAGGTTCCTAAGATGACTTTGGGTAGGGGTGAGAAGGCTAAATGGGAGGTTAATTTGCTTATGAGAGGTTCTTGGTGGTCTTTGAGCTTGGCTGGTTTCTTGCAGATGTTTCATTACCAAACTAGGTAATATCAGTGCTAGGAGGGAATGGGATTTGTGGAAAGGAGGGGGAGAAGGAGGAGGAGAAGGAGAAGGAGAAGAGGAGAAGGAGGAGGAGGAGGAGGAGGAAGAGGAGGACGAGGACGAGGAGGAGGACTGTGAGGTCCTTGATGCTTTCTGAGCTTGGTGGTTTTCTTGCAGATGTTTCATTACCAAGCTAAGTAACATCATTAGTGTTAGAGGGGAGTGGGGTGTGTGTGGAGTGGAGGAGGAAGAGGAGAAGGATGAGGAGGACTGTGGGGTCCTTTGAACCTTGGTGCTAGTTTAGCTAGAAGGGAGTGGGGTATGTACTGAAACACCTGCAAGAAAACCACTGAACTCAGAGATCACCAGGGACCTCTCATTTCAACGGGGATCTACAAATATTCTACTTTATCGGTAAGCTTTATATTTACTAAATTCAGCATTAGAAGGTATGAAAGTTAAGTTGGGCATGGATGTCCCAGTCAACATAAGCATTTTTGGAAACTAAATGGGAAAGACAGACATTGGCTAGAGGACATTGGGGAGAATGTGGTGAGATCTTGCCCACAGCTCCCACCAGTCAAAATTGAAGTCCCGATCTTGAATGATGCCATTCATCCCCACAGGAGACCTGCTTCCAAGGGCCAGAAGGCCTTCACAGCATCTCTTCCCTGACCTCCCATGTCAATCATCTCGTGCCATCTCCTGTCCCATAAAAGCGCGGAGCAGTCAAAGCAGAATGGTAAACATATTGCCAGGAACCCTGATGGAGCTGTGGTTAGAATGCAGTAATGCAGGCTGACTCTGCCCACAGCCTGGAGTTTGATCCTGATAGGGCTCAAGGTTGACTCAGTCCTCAGTTGGTAAAATGAAGACCCAGATTGTTGGGGGCAATACTCTGACTGTAAGCCGCTTAGAGAGGGCTGTAAAGCACCGTGAAGCGGTATATAAGTTTAAGTGCTATTGCTATCTAAGCTGTGGTGGCGCAGTGGTTAGAATGCAGTATTACAGGCAAACTCTGTCCACAGCCAGCAGTTCGATCCTGACCAGCTTAAAGTTGACTCAGCCTTCCATCCTTCTGAAGTCAGTAAAATGAGAAGCCAGATTGTTGTAGCAACATAGTGACATTGTAAACTGCCCAGAGAGTACTATAAAGCACTGGGGAGAGACTTGGTGGCGCAGTGGTTAGAGTGCTGTACTGCAGGCCACTTCTGCTGACTATCAGCTGCCTGCAATTTGGCAGTTCAAATCCCACCAGGCTTAAGGTTGACTCAGCCTTCCATCCTTCCGAGGTGGGTAAAAAATGAGGACCCAGATTGTTGGGGGCAAGAGGCTGACTCTGTAAAACCGCTTAGAGAGGGCTGTAAAGCACTATAAAGCAGTATATAAGACTAAGTGCTATTGCTATTGCTAAGTGCTATTGCTATCTAAGCCGTGGTGGTGCAGTGGTTAGAATGCAGTATTGCAGGCAAATTCTGCCCACAGCCAGGAGTTCAATCCTGACCGGCTCAAGATTGACTCTGCCTTCCATCTTTCCGAGGTGGGTAAAATGAGGACCCAGATTGTTGGGGGCAATGTGCTGACTCTGTAAAACGCTTAGAGAGGGGCTATAAAGCACTGTGAAGTGGTATATAAGTCTAAGGGCTATTGCTATTGCTACATACATGCTTGCCAAGAAAGTTGATGCTGCCTTTAGCCATCGCACAATTCCTGTCATTGGCAGTTCAAATCCCAAGGTTGACTCAGCCTTCCATCCTTCCGAGGTGGGTAAAATGAGGGATTTGGTGAGAGATCTTCACTTGATTAACTCTTGTGGGTGGGTGTTTTTTTGTTTTTCTTTTTGATGCAGAACAACACCTACTCCTGAATTTTTAAGAAAACTTTGCCGCCTCTCATTATTAAAAATGAAAGTCAGTTACACTTATTCGGATGAAGCATGAGCCTCATTATATTCTGGGAGCTGTCAAGTAATTGGGGAAGCATTAAACAGGAATTTACTCGCTTGAAAAATGTGCGTGTACCCTAACGTAAAGCGGTGCAATTTAATTCGAACGGCGGCGCCCCCCCATTTAAAATTCCGCAGATGATGCATTAAACCAAATTAATAATTCATTAGCTTGACACCAAATAAGCCGAAGATGGCTTACCCATCTCAGAATCATTTATCTAGATATGGCTTCTCTTGAAGAATGCCCTTTTTGTGCCGTTATTCTATGCCTGGTATTTTAAATTTGCATTAAATAGCCTATGAGGCTTCCCTGGTTCCACCTGAGGTAAAAATTTATATGGGTACCTCAAGGACCGTATTCACTTCTTCGTATATTTATGCCGGGTTTCCTACACATTCCCAGTCATGAAATGAGGGTGCTATTCAAAATAATGCTTTCACGGTACCTGCGCTGCCAAATTGTTTTTGAAATTCAGATGAGATGGGTCGAGAGTTAGCAACTCGTAAAAAAGAAAAGAAAAGAAAAAGTGGATTTGAGGGAACAACAGCAACCAAAAAAAAAAAAACCGTTTCAAAAGACATCAAAGAGCTTCACTATCAAGCAGAAAATTATGCTGATCCATGTATCTTAAAAGAGAGTTTCATTTAAAAAAGAATTATTCATATTACAGCTTCTATTCAGCGCCATTTACTAAAAATGAAACAATTTAGGTCCCCATCCTGCAGTAATATCATGCTCAGCACCAGCAGAACAAATAAATATCTATATCAAGAAGGCCTTCATTTGCATATAAATGTACAGCAGAGTCGAAAGATTGACGACAATGCATGGCAGGAATGATGAAAAAGGGGATTTTTTCACCAGCCTTCTTTATCCGAAAGGATTTGGAATCACAGTTTCCAGAAAAGGTAGGGAACAAGCTTCTTGGAATCCCCTATTTCTGGAGACACCGGATAGACAAAGCCCTGGTTTAAACTTTTAAACTATTTCTTCCCCCTATTAATTTATTAGCTCGATACCCGTGCTTTGCTACGAAATTATGGGCTTAGTTTTTGGGGAGGAAAATAAGGGAGGAAAATTGTGCCTCTGCCTACCAGCAGCCATCGGTATTCATCTGGCTAGTGTCCTGTCAGTGTGGGAGAGAGTTGAGGGCTGTTTGGAAACTGAAACAGTATTTGCGGTGTGAGCAAGAAGGAGACAGCAAGGAGCCTGGGCGTGGCTTAGCTCAATTGTTCTGTACTAAAGCTGCTTGGTGCTGTGAAACTAAAACTGAAACTCCTCTGCTTGTGTTTTGCATTTGGAACAGATTTCTTTTCAGGTGGGGAGGCGGAGTAGAACTCCTTAGCATCAGAGCGTGTTAATAATAATAATATACGAAATACTAATGCTCTGATGGTCATTTTGAAAAATCCTTTCTTAGTGAGCATCTAGAGGCCAAGAGGAACATACGTGCCAAATTTCAAGTTTGTAGGTTTTACAGTTCGGGAGATTTTGTGAGCCTTCAACTCTCTCACACACTGACAGGACGCTGGTAGGCAGAGGCAGAATTTTTCCTCTCTTATTTTCCTCCCAAAAGACTAAGCCAGGTCACATAGTTTCGTAGCGAAGCACGGTGATCAAGCTAGTTAGTTATACACATAGGGCATTTGACGCACATTTTTAAAAAAAAGGCAAACTTCAAACAGTCACTGAATGAACTGCTGTAAGTTGAGGACTGCCTGCACAAATTAAAGAACCGATTATGTTTGCCAAATGCCACCTGGGTTTGCTTTACCTGTTGCCTGGTTGATGGGTTCCACAGCCCAAGTTAATGGAAAACTGGATCATATGTGTAACAGTAGAAGGAAGGACTGGCAAGACATGGAAGTAATCGACAGCCCAGATATTCCTGTTCCGTCCCTGGTGGTTCTTCTGCTTGAGGCAGAATTTGGTTGCCGGAGTCTGAAGTTCTGGACTGATGACAACTGAGACCAAAGAGGGACTCTTAGATAGAAACAACAAAAATCGGATGGTTAATTTAAACAAGTTTCCAGTGTGTAGCAAAAGAATGACAAATGCAGAATATACCGAATAATTGAGTTGGAAGGGTCCTTGAAGGTCTTGTAGTCCAACTCCCTGCACAAGCAGGAGATCTATACTATTTCTAACCAAGCCTCACCTTCTGTCCAGCCTCATCTTGAAAACCTCCAGTACATCTGAGACAAGCTATTAGCTATTCCACTGATTGATTGTTTTCACTGTTAGGAAATTTCTCCTTAGTTTTAGGTTGCTTCTCTCCTTGATTGGTTTCCATCTCCTCTCCCTCCTCTTCCTCCCCCCTCCTCCTCCTCTTCTTCTCCTCCTTCCTCCTCCCTCCTCCTCCTCCTCCTCCTTCCTCCTTCTCCTCCTCCTCCTCCTCCTCCTCCTCCCCTTCACCCTCCTTCTTCTCCTTCCCCACTGCAGGATGAAGGCCCCTTCCTCATATTTCCAATCCATATGGCCCTGAGCTTTCTATTGTCAATTGGCCCCGCAATACTTGCTGATGTCATTGATCCATCTTGTTTAAGGTCTCTTTTGTGGATGTTTAAACATCCAGAAGTATGTTAGGAAGCAATGTACATAAGAATGTTTATATACTAAGCATATAAACTTACATATACTTATCTATAGGTACATGTACTTAATTTATATACTAAATATATAAACATTCCTAAGTATTTGTTGGGTATTTGTGCTTTTTAGTGGGGAGAGCAGGTGAAAAGGCATGCAAGAAATCCAGAACTACAGTTTTACTGAAATGTATACGGATTTCAAACAAAAAATACTCAAAATAAGATAATCCTGGTTTATCCCACTCTGGTGTTAAATTATAGCTCCCAAAGGCATAGAGACACAGAATCCTTAGTTTAAATGTAGCTCCTTCAAACCCTAAGATCATTATAAATTTAGCTCCTTCAAACCCTAAGACCCTCAGTTTAAATTTAGCTCCTTCAAACCCTAAGAGTTTAAATTTAACGCCTTCAAACCCTAAGACCCTAATTTTGCTCCTTCAAACCCTAAGGCCCTCAGTTTAAATTTAACTCCTTCAAACCTCAAGACTCCTAGTTTAAAGTGAGCTCCTTCAGACCCTAAGACCCTCAGTTTAATTGTATTAACTTCAAGCTCTAGGATCCCCCAGTTTAAATGTAAATGCAATTAATTTAATTTAATTTAAATTTATTTCCTTCTAACACACCCTCAGATGCTAATTTTTCCTTTCATGAACTGGGTCAGAATTTTTCTGTATCCCATCATCAACCTTTAAAAGTGACCCACAGTGTCTAAAAGAGTTTCAGAAAGTGGTGTTAGCAGATATTTTTCTCTCTTTACAGCTCGGAATCAGTCTGTTGTAACCAATCTAATGCTCTTTTCAGAATACATGTCGAATACTTACCTTGTGGGAAGCATAGGTCATTGCATCAAGGGTTATGTGGTCTTTTCTTCCTTCAATTTTTGCGTATAATAAGACATCATTTTCATGAGCTTCTCCAGTGTCACAGCTTCCCCCTGAAATAAAATGCAAGATGCATTAACTTTCTTTCTACTTTAACAGTGACAATGACTGTTTTTTGGTTTATTAAGGTAATGTGGGCCAATATAGGGGAAATAATTCTAACTGAATATTCATATTTCTTTCATTCTAATACAAGTGGAACAATAATAGCAATAGCACTTATATACCGCTTTATAGTACTTCACAGCTCCCTCTAAGTGGTTTACAGAGTCAGCCTCTTGCTCCCAACAACTTGGGTCCTCATTTTACCCATCTTGGAAGGATGGAAGGCTGAGTCAACCTTGAGCCTGGTGAGATTTGAACTACCAAATTGTAGGCAGCTGGCTGCAGCAGAAGTAGCTTGCAGTACTACACTCTAACCACTGCACCACAGGCTCCTAATAATAATATCCATAATACAATGGCTTGTATGTATGGTAAGTTTCTTACAATTTCCCTGGTGTTAAAAATGACCTATCTTCCTCTAATCATTCTTTACCTTAAGGTCTTATCTCTATCACAAGCCTATAGATTATAAAAAAACTTAATAATAATATAATTGAAGAAACATATACCACTGTTCCTGGCCAGTGGCACCTACAGTCAAGGTAATGGGTTTTTGTTACAGATGAAAGCAAAATTGTGATTGAAACACCACCCCTTTTTCTATGTGTCACAATGTCACATCTATGTTGAAAATTGTATTACTTGCAGGATCATCCTGTAATGCATGTTGTTGCTCTGGTTCCCACACCTTTCAAAGCTAAGACTGCCAAATCTTTTCACTTATTTGATATTTGCAGGAGGAAGACATTGTCCACTAATGCTAAATTTACTTGTTGTCCTTTTGAAGTATATACTGAATTAACCCTCACTAATATATTTGGAAAGAGGGCAGAGAAGAGCAACAAAAAAGATTAAGGGGATAGAGGCTAAAACATATGAAGAACACTTACAGGAATTGGGTATGTCTAGTCTAATGAAAAGAAGGAGTAGGGGTGACAAGATAGCAATGTTCCCATATTTGAAGGGCTGCCCCAAAGAAGAGGGAGTCAAGCTATTCTCCAAAGCACCAAAAGGCAGGACAAGAAACAATGGATGGAAACTAATCAAGGAGAGAAACAACCTAGAACTAAGAAGAAATTTCCTGACAGTGAGAGCAATCAACCAACAGAATAGGTGGCCTTCAGAAGTTATGGGTAATCCATCATTGGAGGCTTTCAAAAAGAGATTGGACAACCATTAATCTGAAATGATATGGGTTCTCCTGCTTGAGTAGGGGGCTGGACTAGAAGATCTCCAAGGTCCCTTCCAACTCTGTTATTCTATGTTCTATTTTCCTTCTGTCTTAGTCAAGATTTGAGTTTTCTGTAGTCTTGAAAGAAATAATGTAATATTATCAGGACATGTGGAAATATAGTAGTAAGGGATCAGAACTGATCTAACAATTAAAGTAATACCATAATTATATGCAGGGTGTAATGATATATCAATTTTGAACATTAAATTAAATTTTGATAATACAGAACCAGATTGTCTCAAAGAGAGCAAGCTCAAAGACTGAGAGTTGACAGATTTATTAAGTCAACCTTTGGAGTCTGATATGTTCTTCCAAGAACTCATTATCACCTATCTGAAACAACTGAAATATGAAATATCCAAAACTCACAAATTCTAATTTTGGAGGATTTAATTCAACAACATATTAACATCTTTAACTTCCTATCAAAGATCTGGTTCACCAAGTAATCATAGTTAACTAAGAAAGGATTTCCAAGAACAAGAACAAATTATGTGCCCTAACATTCCTTTGAGCTTATTACTATGCCCTGGTGTAGTGCAAGAACAGTTAAACATCAATTGAAGAGTCCCAAGCTTGCAAATAATTTACTGCTCAATTAAGTTGTTAAATCAGAAGAGACCTACTTGGCATTTCTTAAAACCTGAGACCATATTTAAAATGTTTCAATTCTCTATTTCAAATTTCTCGTACATTATCCAAATTTATTTTGAAATTGCTGTTACATTATCAGTAGTAATGGAATGTTGGCTTAATCTTCATAAAAGCACACAGATTTACAGCAGTTGAATTATCAACAGCAGCAACAGATCTGGTAGGACTGTACAATTTCAGGCTACAAGTGGAAGGATCACATGTTTGAATGTGGCTTAAAAAAGGAAGTGTTATATGTAATTGTATCATTCATCTTGATAACATCGTTCAATGCATGCTCAGAAGTTTTTTTTTCACATAGTAGAGATTTATATTTGCATTTTCTCATAGCATAAACTAATGCTAGTTGAACACTTGCATTTTAAACTCCAAATAAAATTGATTCTTTTTTTTTTTTTAAGCAACATCTGAATATTACACCAACTCATTTTCACACAACTGGTGTTTTTCAGTGAGGTCATCCAAGCTGTGCTGAGCTAACAGCTTTGCCTCAAGAGTTCAGAAGGTTGACAAAAGTGTCTTTCCTGTTTTCCACCAGGTGTGGCTCTCCCTTTCCTGCTGCATTCTTGGTTCATCAAACGGGATTTGACAATTGAGACGGAAGATCAGAGAATTCCCTTCCAGTAAGAAACGGTGTTTTTGTATCTTGTTGACAGAAAAAAAAACAGTGTTACGAGGGAAAACAGATCCATTCTGTTTCCTTTCTCGTTCTTTCCATTTCACATTAATGGACATAGTGTTGAAAGGATGAGTTTCCCTGTACAGTTTATCCTGATTTGTGGATGTTGCAGAATAATATTCAGGGAGGGAAGGAGAGGAAGGAACATTAGGGAAAACTGCTGCAAGGTATTGCCAAATGTAAACATGTTCGTTGATCTCAATCTTAGTTCCAATCATAGAAAGTTTCATGAAAAGTCACTAATGGCATATCCCAAAGGTGCTTTTTTTTCAGGAGGCAACTGGACTTTCTGGGTTTTTCTTTGAAGACGTTTCGCTTTTCATCCAAGAAGCTTCTTCAGCTCCGATTGGATCTTGGGGAACAGAAGGATGACCAGACAGGGGGAACATTTACCTTTGACCCCACTTAGAGGAACAAGTGGGAGATCAAATCATTTGAACATACACTCCTCCACTGTAGGAAAATATGAAATAGCATGCACATAGCCAAAGAAAGATTAATGGCGCGTACTTACCCATGCTGAAATAAAACCTCAGATTTCCATAACCTGTCATGTCCATATACGGAGTGCATAGTTTTCTCTCTCCTTCTCTGAGGAACACGGCGGATGAACCCGATTCCAAGGTCCCACATTCGGTGCCGATGACTGCTCCAGATATATCCCACCTAAAGACATCCAAGAGGTAAGGATCAGTTCATTTTTGGACTCAGTTCAAAAATGCCAGATTTTTATTCTTTACATAAAGAATAAAATTTATTCTTCATTCTTTTTTAGTCTTAAAAACCGTGAGATGGGATATTATGAAGGAGCAGTACGTACAAAATGAATTTGTCCTCTATTCAAGGGAGAGAACCCTTGATATTTGCACCACAATCACAAAAAGGTTAAATTGACGGGAACGCGTGATAAGGCAACAGAATAATGAATGGTGAGCAGTTATGGAATACGTAAAGCATTAGTATAATGCTTAAATACTTATAGCAACAGCACTTTGACTGATATACCGCTTCACAGTGCTTTACAGCCCTCTCTAAGCTGGTTTACAGAGTCAGCCTATTGTCACCCAACAATCAGGGTTCTCATTTTACTGGCCTTGGAAGGATGGAAGTCTGAGACAACCTTATAATACTATAAAGTATTAGAACCGTTTTATAAAGCCTTGGTAAAACCACACTTGGAATATTGCATCCAGTTCTGATTATCACATTCTATAAAAAAATGTAGAAATTCTGGAAAGAGTGCAGAAAAGAGCAAGAAAGAGGATTAAGGGATGATTGGAGGCTAAAACATATGAGGAAGAGTTGCAGGAATTAGATATGTCTAGTCTAGTGAAAAGAAGGACTAAGGGAGACATGATAATAGGGTTCTAATATTTGAGGGGCTGCCACAAAGAAGAGCTACTCTCCAAAGCACCGGAGGGCAGGACAAGAAACAATGGATGGAAACTAAGCAAGGAAAGAAGCAACCTGGAATTAAAGAGAAATTTCCTGACATGAGAACAGTTAACCAGTGGAACGACTTGCTTCCAGAAGCTGTGAATGCTCCAACACTGGAGGTTTTTAAGAAGAGACTGGGCAACCATTTGTCTGAAAGGGTATAGGATCTCCTGCTTGAGCAGAGGGCTGGACTAGAAGACCTCACAAGGTCCCTTCCAACTCTGTCAATCTATTATATCAGTTCTCTGTTTAATCTTGCTCCAATTTCTTACACCTTGTTTATTACAGCATTTTAAAGAACTTGCTTCTTTTATCTGGGGCATAAACGACACAAAGAGGTCTTAATCAAGAAAACATCTTTGGAATGCATGACTAAACGAGCTGCACATTAAAGTACCTCTCTCTCTTCAGCAAACTCTCCATTCATAAAAGCATAGCTGCTGGGTGTGGTATATAATCTTAAATTTAGTTGTTGTTTTTTAAAATGAAATCAGTTACAAATTTTAAAAAAAATGCCTGGAACAAAATAATAAAAATTAAGAGTGGACAAGGAAACAAGTGTTTCTACAATAACAGAATAATTAAGGACTAAACATTTCCAATGTTCTTTTTTATATATATAGTTTTATAAGCTTATCAAGATATAAAATACAAAAGGAAATGAAAAAAACTGGGAAGGAAAAGGGGGGGGGAGAAGTGTAACATAAAGAGGGGAAAGGAAGAAAAGCATTGACCTCCAACACTCTTTAGTGCAGTAGAATAAAATAAGAGAATAGCTTCAACTTTTTAATTTTATGTAACGATAGCAATAGAGCTTAGATTTATATACCACTCCAAAGTGCTTTACAGCCCTCTCTAAGCGGTTTACAGAGTCAGCCAATTTCCCCCCAACAATCTGGGTCCTCATTTTACCCGCCTCAGAAGGACGGAAGGCTGATTCAACCTTGAGCCGGTCAGGATCGAACTGCTGGCAGTGATCAGAATTAGCCTGCAGTACTGCATTCTAACCACTGTGCCACCATGGCGCTTCAACTTCATATGTACTAGACATTTAGAGAGCACCAAGGACCCCACTGAAGTGACTGATGTGGATATGAGAACTGAGATAATGTAAATAGTCAAGCATACAGCGTTCACATTTTTTAAAATATATTACAGAAATATCGTCGGTAAGCTGTATTGTTTTTAAATATGTGAAGTACTGAACGGTGTGTAAGGCTTAGTCTTGTGAACTTTCAGGTTTGCCCAAAGTTTTTGAGGCTAGTTAGAAAATTTACCACTTATTGAGCGTGGCGGTAAACTTGGGTATCATTTCACCATTTCAAATTGCAGAATGTATCTTAATGTTTATAAGTGATGGGACATCTGTTCCAATTAAACAGTTCTAATTGCCAGTCAACATTAGGCTAAATGGGTTTCCTGGGAAATAACCCAATAAAGCAGCAATCCTGATTTTGTTAGCCCATTTCAACACATTCCCTTTATGGAATCCATGCATACTAATAGAAACATTATAAATGTTTCTATTTAACCATCTCATCCTCTGCTGTCACCTTCTCCTCCTGCCTTCAAACACACACACACACACACACACACACACACACCACTGGTATTTTGTTAATTCTGCTTCTTTGTCTCTTCCAACTTTTATATCTTTTTAGGCAGTCCAGCATTTCCAGTAAGGCTTTTGACATGTTCTTTAAAGGTGGCCGTGATCCTTGACCTCCATTAAAGGAGTCAGAGAAAGGGGAAGAAATATAGGAAACACCTGTCTGTCCTTCTCTCTGCTCTCTCCCTCCAAATAAACCAACTGGAAAGTATGGTTTGATAGTAAACAGAAGGAAAGAAAGTTTTAGGAGCTCTTGTGTATTACAAAAGTGACAGCGTCCTTACTGTGGCCTGTTGGCCGCCGGCCTTTCCAGCAGCCGAATCAGAGGAGGAGGAGGCATGGGAGTCAAGGCCAGCATTCAGGCAAACTGAGAGCTCCAAGGAGAAAGAGGGAATGGAGCTGGCAGAGAGAGAGAGAGACAGAGGCGGAGCCTGGGCCATCCGTCAGCCCTCAGATGGAGAGTCAACAGCCCCCAGGTCTGGAGGTGGCTGATGAGGAAGAGGAAGAACAGCTGGGTCCAGTGCCTGACGTGTGGATGCGCAGAAGGCAGAGGAGAGGAGAGCAGTGGAAATCTATGGGCCGGTCCTTGGGATGGAAAAGCCACCGCTGCTAGTGAAGCCCCACCCTAGCCCTGGGGATAAAAGGCAGGAGGCGGAGATGAATAGATGTCACAGACAACTATTCATCTCCCTGCCGGACAGACTGGTTAGCCTGCGGTGAAAGAGAAACTTTTTGCTGGGGCTCCTAATAAAGGAATCATTGATTTAACTTCAGAGGGTTTGTTGTGTTTGGGGAGCTGGCTCAGAACAGTCCTGGGAGAAGATGTGTCCTGGACCTAAATAATGCAGGAGGAAACTGTGTTCTGAAACAGGATGTTTCATTTTTTATAGGTGGTGAAAAGAAAAAAACAACAACCAAATTGACGGGATATAGAGGTGAAGTCAGAATTTTCACCGATGGGAAACCAAACGCTTTGTAAAATCTGCAAGCGCTAAAGAGACTCCAAGCAAAATGATCAGCTTTGCATGAATTCGAATAAACTGGGAGAAAATGAGAAATCATATCCAATTCAGCTTTGGAAAACAAACAACATAATTCAATGAATCTGCCCTGGAGCTTATCTGGAAGTGGTGTAAGACATGATAAAGGAACATTTGAAAATAATAGTGCGTGTTTGCTGGTCTTGCTTAATAAAGCACCAGCAATTCCTAAAAAGATCAGATTGGGACACAGTTTAACCAAAGACAAGTATCAAAAATAAAGACTGTCGTCCCACAGGGATCAAATTTCTAATGGGACAAATTATCATAGGGATTTTTGACTGAGATACAGCCTGAATCAAAGAAAAATAGTTTTAAAAGTCCTTAAGCACCTTTAAAACTTTTTAAAGAGGAGTATGATTTTTTTCTTTGCTTGGAGACTGCAGCCGTTTAAGAAAAAAACATACATGTATTTTATTTTGCTTTAGATTTATAATTCAGTTTAGTCATTCTAAAACTAGAGATTAAAACAGACTCTTTAGCCACGCTGGGAGTTTGTGTAATTGGCTTAGTTACTTAGAAATGGTATACAACAACCTTAGAGAGCAAGAAGATAAAGAGTATCATTAAAATTTGGGATTTATTTTATCAATGGTTAGAAAAGAGAATAGGGAAATAGGATATAATACAATATAAATACAATGATAGAGTAAAGATAAAACAATGTAATATAATGAATTATAATGGAATGAATGATATTATGAATTGAGCTATCTTAGAAATTGAAATCTGCTCGAAAAGGATGATATAGTTTATAAGTAAAGTCCAATAAGTAATTAATAACAATACAATATAATATGCATATTCTTGTAAAATAAATTTTAATAATGTAGTTAGAAGGGAAGGACTGTTGATATTGTGCACAAGAATATTTATTCCAACTGACACACTGTACAATGGAAAGAAGGTTTTATGTTTTGTGTTTATGTTTATGTTTGTTGTTAAAAAATAAAAAAAAATTATCCCCCAAAAAGAAAGAAATGGTATACAACAATCAAGTGTCATCATAAAAAGTAAAAGGAAGAAAGATTTAAAAAAGTAATGCTTAAGCCTGCTGTGCCACTGGTCCATATTCCTAATTTTTCTCTCTAAGGTAGAGAAATCAAATTGTACAAAATATGCGTTGGAAAGGATATTAGTATTATACATCAGTTTCCTCATTTTATGTTGAAAAGCACAATTGTGACATCACTGATGCTTAAGCATTCTCTTAGCTTTAGATGTCTTGACTCACTTCCATAATTTAACAACCTTGGGTCCTCTTTTTTACAGCAATGATTGATTTTGGGCTAAAAATGACATTCATAGAATCTGATGACTTCATCCCTTCATTCCTAGCTTAACCACATGTTGTTCCTCTTCCTGTTGATCTGACTTCTTACACAATTATACATGTTTTTCCTTTTTGCCAGTGCTCTGGCAAAAAGTATCTGGTCAACTTTAGCCCCGTTATGCATTGCTTTAAAAGGCCATTCAGACAGTGAGAGGCATGATTTAAAATAAATTTAACTTGAGGTTGAAATTATTTTAAATCAGGTATCTTGCTTTCTGAATGTCCAAGATGATTAGGGGGGCGAAGA